AAATGGAAGAAAGGTTAAAAAGAGTCATAGAGCAGAACCAACTTCATTCAACAACTAATGTTGAACTTGATTCTAGGATCAACATTGTTAAAGACAAAAATGATAAGCTCCAAACAAAAATTGGGAAACTCCGAGCTAAACTCTGACTATGGAGATTTTATCCTCCTCAAGAAAACCTACGTCATTTATCACATGAAGAGGAAAACCTTGGAGGAAGCCAAAGAAGGCATTGCAAATATCGATGAGTGCATTACCAAAGCTCGTGAATTGGAGACAACTGCTCTTGAGAACGTCCCCGCTCGGCATGCTGCTTCTAACTCTTTGAATACTAACTCCGAGTACTCGAGAAAGAGGAAGTTGAATATGAAGAAGATAAGGATGAAGGCCTCGAACTGGAAGCGGAACAATCTTCTCCTGAAAAAGAAAACGAAGACTTTTCTCTCCCTTCGGGCTCTGGTAGCAAAAATGATTGATGTATATATTTTACTTTTCTTTTTTAACTTTTTTTAAAATTTCTTTATTGAGTTTGACATTTTTTGAAATGATGAAAAATATTTTTTGCTTAAATAATATGCAAGAAATATTCACTTTTTTATTTAACTGACAAAGTTTCGGGAATTCTTTTTACATGCCATAGTTTTGATCTCGGGCATTCATACTTTCGAAATCTACACTTTGACTATTAGGGTTGCATAAGAGAGGTCCCTAATGTTTACGTTGCACTTGAAGAGGACGTCTCCTATTTATTTTGTCACAAGCATTTGAAGGTTTAACTAACTTTCAAACGAGTAAAATAAATTAACTTATAATTCAGACAAGAAATAATATAAAAACAAAAGGACTTCGATTTATTCCTTATATCTTTAAAAGTAAATTTACATAAATATTCATTTGCTTAAATAAATAAAGTTGCCAATTTGGAAGATTCCTAAAATTTACCCCCGGGCCCACGTGCCCGGATTTCAGAAAGTTTTGTAAATAATTGTTACCCATAACCTCACGAACACTAATATATAATTTCTACTCAATTTCATAATCATTTTCATGATCTAATCCTATTTTTTCTAAAAACCTAGGTTTTTCAAGAAAATACTAAAAATTTACAATTTCCATGTTAAGATCTATCCATTATCTAGGTATTAAACTCACATTTTATAGAATACACTTACCTAAAGATGCTAGGTGAAAATCTCTCTCTAAAAAGCTCCATAATCGGCCACAAGATGAGAGAAATGAACAAAAATAGGCCAAAGTCCCATTTTTATTAAAGTCACTGCCCAGGTTTGTCTTCTTCGCGACCGCGAAGGAAAAACTGTCCAAGCCCCTGAAACTCTTCTTCGAAATGCGACGGGTTCCTCGCGATCGCGAAGGCTAGAGCAGCTCAAGTGTCTGAACGTGACCCACCCTTCGCGAACACGAAGAGCAAAGACCCACAGACCCCTTGCCCCATAATCTCTTCTACGCGAACAAAACCAGGCCATCGCGAATGCGAAGGCCACAGGTCGTAAAGCTTCATGAACGCGGCCTCTTCCTTGCAAACACGAAGAGAAAAAGCGCCCAATCCCCAGTTCCTTCATCCCGAACGCGAGGGTCCTTCCGCGTTCGCGAAGAAGGAAGTTAGAACCAGCACCTATCAATTTTGAACTTAGCTGAGGGCAGTCAAAAATGCATCCCCGCCCCTCGGGACCCCTTCTAAATGCACCAACAAGTCCATAACCATAATACAGACTTGCTCAAACTCTCGGAACACATAAAACAACTTCGAAATTAGGAATCGCACTCCAAAACCAAATTGAATCAACTAATGAACTTCAAGCTTCTCAACTAGCTCCGTACGCGCCGAATCATACTTAGACTACTCGGAATGACATCAAATTTTGCGTACAAGTCATAAATTACCATACCCGATTCCAAAGCTCGGAATCCTAAACGGACCTCGATAACACCTAAGTCTATTCCAAACCAAATTTAAAGAACTAGAAAACATTCAATGAACCAACTTTCAATATTAAGCGCCGAAACGCTCCCGGATCACCCGAAACCCGATACGAACACACGCCTAAGTTCAAAATCATCATATAGACCTATTGGAATTATCAAATCCCGGTTCCTAGGTTATTTATTCAAAACGTTGACTCAAGTCAATCTTGGCCATCATAGGCCACTATTAAGGAGCTAAGTATTCCGATTTCAATTCGAACCCTTTCAAACCTAAACCAAGCATCCTCGCAAGTCATAAAATAGTAAAAACATATACGGGGAGTCTTAATTAGGGGAATATGAATCTAAAAAGCAAAACGACTGGTCAAATCATTATAGTTCTCTCAAGATTTTGACAATTTCTATAACATGTTCATCATCCACATCATCAAGAGTTGAACTCCTCATCTACCGAGGATTTTGACCTTTGCGAACTGGAGTTGTTTCATTTTCTTCATTGTTGGTTTCACTAGTCCAATCATCACGTTGGAAAACATTCTCAAGTTCATTGTGTGCTCCAACATTGTAGGAATTGTTGACATCGTTAGCTACCATACATGATTTTTCTTTTGCTAAGAAAGGAATCAAATTTTTTAGTGACAGATGAATGGATCAAAGCAATTACACAATTATCTATGTTCCATGGTGGGTGCCAAAACTGTTTACCCGTAAAACGGTACAATTGAATTTGTAAGTGTTTTATAGACACGTGAATTATCTTAGTCCAAAAATATGAAATAAACGAGAATGAAATTAAGAATGTAATAATAACTTAATGAAATACAAGCCTGTTGGTATGATGAGCTTCTCCGGAAGCAGTAGTATGAACAATATTAAGAACAAAAGAAAACAAGTAATTTTATAATTTGAGTGCAGAATATAGCCTTTGTTTACTAATGATTTTTTCCTATCCAACCATGGATCCTAATTCTTCTATTTATAGCTCTATTTAGGGAGACAAGATCCCCAAATCAAGCTCCTCTTGAATAAGAATAAAATCGTCGTTGATGACTACATAACTATTGGATATCAATACAGAGATTCTTTGTAACGGCTGCTCATTGAATGTTGTCCGATGTCTTCCCCTTCAAATTTTTATTATCGGTTCCCCTGTCTTCGGAATTTACATAGTACCGATCACATGCTTGTATCCGATACCAACTATTTGCCGACTACCTGTCTTCAGCTCCACGCGTCACCTTCTCATTGTCCAAGTGTCGCTAACCAATTTTACCTCGTACATTATGTAATTGAAATATCCTTGTGGGCATATGCTCATGTGTATCTCAAAAGATGATACGAGGATCATTCTGGGGCCAAAACTAAGCGAAATTCCAAATCACTGTTCCAATTTATTCACGACGACATATTCTAAGAAATAATTTTCCCCCTTTATTAGTATGTGTTTCAAGGAATTTGAGAGTTGGAGAACTGGATCTTAATACATTTGATCATTTTTTGTTCTTGTCTACACTTTCCCCCTTTTTATCATCTTGCAAGCTTTAGAACATTTTTATATACTGATTGTGAAACTAAAAGGTTCATTCTTAGTTTTCAAAAGGTAGAATCATGAAGTAGACAAAAATCCTTACCTCCTCAATGGTCATGAAAAGAATGTAAATCCTAGTTTTCTTACAACTATGCTTGAAGAGTCTAGGTTTTTCCTGTGTGCATGTGACTCGGATACAAAGTAAGATATTCTGTGTGTGTTTGTTCGTGCGTAATATAGCGCAACTGTATCTTGTCAAGCTTGTAATAGCCTTGAGTAATGGCTTGAAGTGACTGAACATGGTGAAAAATAGAACAATTATACAGTTCTTGTAGCCAATTATATTGCAGAATCTGTTCTTTTATCAGTTAGCACTATCTCATCTTCATAAATTAAAGGACCAGATTTGTTACAATCAGGATCGGAGTAGTTCTGCACATTACAATTTATGGCAACAACAAGATTGACCTGAGAGTTTAGCAATATTTCGTATCCACATAGATAATTAGATATCATTGAAACTAGCTAATATTACCAACAGTAAACACAAAGTTGTTGAGCTGAGCATGAAGTTATGTTTTGATGATTAACCAACCATAGCAGAGAACCAGGTTTAATTTCATATTCCAGGTTGGTGTGCTACTAGGTTAGTATGCAGATAAGAGATAAGAATGCCAAATGAACCAGGTTCATAGCTGACCGGTGGCAGAATGCTGATCAGATGCGGAAAGTCAGTATACCTATGCAGGTTAGAATCTTCAGAAGATCCTATGCGTGTCCTAAAAGGAATATGCAAATTGGATGAGTTCGGGGACAAAAAGGATTTTGTATTTATGGAAAGACTTGTGCGAAAAGAGAAGGTTGAAGAGTTAGAAACAAATAAGGAAACCAAATCTAAATAGGAGAGGTATTTCTTAACCGAATTTTTTAAGGTTTTGGAGCATTAGTTGAAGAAGATTTTCGGCCAACCTTGCAACTATAAGAAAAGACTTTTTGCCGCAGTTCAAGATGACGGCTAATGAGAGAAATCACAAAGAATACTTCTGACAATAGCAATCGCAACAGATACTTCTGAAGATTCAAGCTAATCAATTGAAGAACCAGTTCCCGAAGATAAAGTTGCTCAAATTCTTTAGTTGTTAGGTTTAGTCAAGTATTTTAAATTGTAACCTATTTGCTTTTTGATAAGTGTATTAGTAGGTTATCACCAAAACTTCATTTTTGTAAGCTTCCTAAACTAGAGTGTTTGAAAAGGGGTTGCTACAATTAAGTTGATTGTAGGGGTTAGGGTACTAAAGTTAGTCCCCTTGGTTATAGAGTTGTAACCTAAAAACTGCTTTTTGAAGTTTAGTGGAGATTTGAGAAAAATTCTACTAGGTAGATCATGGTTTTTACTGTCTTGAACAAGGAGGATTTTCACGTAAAATCTCTGTATTGATTAATTTTCGATAATTATTTCTGTCTATGTCTGTTTGGATAGATGAAAGAATCAGGTCCTTTACATTAAGAGATCTGTTTTTGACACATAAGAGATCTAAAAAGGTCATTTTCTTAAATTCAAAATTGTAAAGGACCATGATGTACCAATAGCACTACAAATATGGGGAGGGGGATGTGGCTTACAACACAATTGTGTTCTAGTTTGAGCAACTGAAAACAACACCTTTAGGTATTTATGTATATTATAGCTAGGGACTACATCAAACTAAAGGATGATTTAAGACTTGGCCTATTTTCCAAGGTACAGATAAAAGCTTTCTCAAACTTCTTCGTCTAAGATCCTCAACAATTTGAGCAAAGCAGTTGCTTCATATGGCTCTTGCATAAAAGAAGAAAAGCCCATAGACATACATACCCAAGTGTTCTTTCCCCTTTGCCTGGATGAGCAATGAGGAGCAAAACACCATGTAGGCATTGCAAAGAACAAGTTGGTTTCCATTCTCATTGATTTGCTGATTTTTCCAATGCTCAATACAACTTCTTCTGATCATTATACATAATTAAACCACCTTACAGCATCAATCCACTAATTCTGAGTGCTTCACCAGCAAACTTGGTCATTTGTTGGCAATGTAAGTTGAAATATTAGAGTATATGGCAACTGAACTAGTCCCAATGGCAAATATGATCACCAATACAGCCAATATCTTTTCCCGAGTTGTAGATATGTTATGAGCATCTCTGCAAAAACAATTTTAGCAATAGTAAGTGGAAAAGTTGATTAAAGAAAAGGAAACAAAAAATAGTTTCTATTTTGCAAAAGATCTCTAATATTTCAAAGAGAACAAGTCGCTTTCGCTGTCTTTTTTCATTTAAGAATAGTTTCTTTCACATGAAACAATGATTGAAGTAAGTACATACCTAAGAACAATTGAGCTTGGGAATATGAACATGATGCACATGACTGTTGTCGTTCCCATGAACTGAAAGAAGTACCAAATATTCGGAATGGCTACAGCAGCTCCATAAATGAATGTAAGTAAAACAAAGGTAAGGGAAAAGAATCGTAATGTTTCTGTGGCCAACAGAGGTCTCTTAGGAAAGAATAGTTCGTCCACATTAACCCTCAGAGAATAATTCATCACAGGAAACACCAGCATGAGATGAATGGCATAACTCAATCGAACAGTATCGTTAAGTACTGTACCGATTAAAGAATCAGAGGCTTGATCAAAGTTGACCAGCATGTCGGCCATAATCGACTCCCCAAACAATAGGTAGCCAAAGAATCCCACAGCAAAATAAATGGCAACACATAATATTAAAGAAATGCGAACAGCCGATGTCATGTCAGATGGCCTTCCCATCTCTGCTCTTACCGGATGAACTGCAAAGGAAAATAACCACTTGAAGTGAACAGATAAAAATGTAAAAGGGCAAAAATAACAAAGAATGACAGATGTCACCTAAAAGATTAACTACTACCCTAACCTTCAACTTCATAGCTAAAATAGATATGTTTTCACAGATGTGTTACTATTGAAAAGGGTAGAAAGTGAACATATTTTTATACACCAAAGAATGACTTACCATTAACATGACATCCGAAGGCAGTAGCAAAGACTGGAATGGTCGTGAAAAGATCAGAAAAGGAAACTCCATGTGAAAAATTTGGTACCCACCGTAACCTTTGTGTTTTCCCCTCCCACATTGCATGTATTGCCATCATCGAGCATATGACTACAAACAGTACTGCTAGGAAGATTGATATTGCCGATGCATGTCTCAGTGAATCTGGACGTTAAAAACCATAAAATTTAGAATCCATTATATGCAGATGTTCTAGATATATTAATTATATTAAATTATGCTACTCCCGTTTGACAAATGCCCTAAGACTATGTTTTCCATCCATAACATGCTGGTTATTTGGTCAAATGTCTAGTGATAAACAAAATCTCTATCTGTATCATTCTAATGGAGTAGCAACTCTACCTACTCTCAGTTTTGTTCTTTCTCAGGCACAGAATCAGCTGAAAAGCACTTACAACTGTACTTTATGAAGCTACTTATGGAATTAGATATCAACCTGATTAGAAAATCACATCAAGTATACTTTAGGCTTATGCACTTCCATGCGTACTTTATGAAGCTAATGGAAACAGAGAAATGCATTCTAAGGTAGAAAAATCGGCAGATAGAACTTTTACTTAGTGAAACTACTTATGCAATTATTCAACCAACCTATGCGTTTAACACAGAGCAACGGAAGCATGACAAAAAGCACAACAAAGAGAAGTGAAAATGCCCGGGAAGTCCACCAGTGGATGCCAAACCATTCCTGTAGAGTACCCAAGTGCACTGATCCATCAGAATTATTTCCTGAGAGCACATCCCCTGTGAAAAAGACAAATAACATTAGTGATAGATACTCCAGCAAGCAACTCCTGGTTTGTACACAAAGTAAAATTCGACAAGTNCCCTCGTTTTTGGGTCTACAATTTAGATGGAGGCCCTATCACCCCAGATTTTCACATTTTACTTCTACAATATTACATCAGTCACAGTTTCGTTAAGAAATACAGGGAACAAAAAGGTTAAATCAACCAACTCAGTTCTACAAATGAACCAATATGAACCAATAATCATCGGTATTCAAGGAGGTGAATATAACATTATGTATTTCAAAAGATCTCCTTTTCAATTTACAAACGGACTAAAAGTAGCAAATTCCTTCATCAACCAAATAAGAATAGTAGAACGTGATTTACTCCTCAATATGAAAGCCTATATTTCACCTCACAGAGGAGCATTTGACAAACAAGAAATAATTAACAACTCAGTGTAGTAAGCACCGAGTTTGAATTGAGAAAAAAAGGATTAGTGTAGTTGCTTACCAATAATAATCAAATAAATAATCAAGGCACCAAGATTAGTAATCATGACACAAATCTGAAGAGCAACAGAACCAAACTTCCCAAAAGACTCAGCCATAAGCCCACCATAAGAATCCGACTCGCCCGAATGAGTATATTTCAACAGGAAATCTACAGTCACCTCAACAAAATATCCAACTAACAGAATAACAAAAAAGCTGGGAATTACACCCAGAACTTTAAAAGTAGCAGGGATTGACATAATCCCAGCACCAACCATGCCTGTTGATATATTAAATATTGCACCAGAAATTGATCCTCCCTCTGACCTTTCATCCTCAAAACACTGGTTCTGGTCCACAGGTAAAAGTGGAGCAAGAGACCCAGAATCTTGTTTCTCTGTTATCATCTTTGTTTAGCAGCTTCGGCTTGTGGGATGCTAGGGGAAAAAACAAGACTTTAAATAGCTTCTCTAATTTAGAATGGTGTGAAAGGTGACAAGAATTTAATCATAAGAAAATGTGAGGACCCATAATTAAAGAAAGCCATAAGAAAATGTGAGGACCCATAATTAAAGAAAGCCCTTTGAATCAAGAAACAATTATAGATTGGTAGGCAAACAAAGACAGAAGTTTCGAAATACCAATTGGCGGATTCACAAGAAAGTTTTGGAATATAGGAAAAGTAATGGAGTGGGGTGGGGGGTGGGTGGGTATAGGGAAGCTATCTTATCCTCTTCTTCTTAATTACCCCTAAATTCAAGAAGACCGCTTTGAAAGACAAAATAGGTGAGGCTGTCGCCGAAAATTTAGTGCATTTGGAGTGGCTTACGTCCACCGTGAGTTGAATGTCGAACCTGACACCATTTTTTCCTTCCTGTCATTTTTTGACACAGATGTTGAAAATCAGAGTTGGATTTACCACGTAAGGAAAAGTATTAAATTTACACGATTGTCCCTATAAAGTTTTCATTATTCATAAAATAACAGAGAAGGGTAATCCCCTGAAATTTGTATTGGGTTTACTTTACCCACTTTACCACAAATAAAGTTTCGTAATGTCCCGGTAAAACATTAGGCCATGTATGCTCCTTTTTAGAAAGAAAAAAAAAATCATGTAAAATTGAAGAAAAACTTAGAATATTTAAGGACGTGTTTGATTTCATTAAGATTAAGATGTTTAGATTTGGATACACATCTAATTAATGCAAGATATCATATCTAAATTTAAACACTAAACAACTAAGACTTCTTGTTTTAATTTCTCAAATCTGAATGCGTAAAATATATCTGTAGACAATAAATTTGGTTCGAGAAAATAAAATCAAGACCGAAAAATATCGCAATAATTGTAGTATTTTATTTCGAATATTTGAGTGTTACAGTCTCTATGAATCCTCTAATTCTACTTTTCAATAGTAAATAAATTCAAGGGCANACGTGGCACCAAACTGAGCCTCCAGGAAGATGACATCTTGGGCTTAATGAAGTGGGCTCATCACTTTAGCCCAATTAAATAGGCTAGCCCAATGGATTAAGACTTATTTATTTAATCCATATATATTGGACTTATATAACTAATTCAATTATATTAGCCCAATAATATTTATTTGGACTAGCATATTAAAATATAGTCCATATTATTTTATCAATTTAAATTCAGTAAAATTTTAATGCTTACAAATGCCTCCTACTTCAAGGCGTGTCACATTTGTTTGACTAGGCTTGAAGTCATATTGAAGCAACATCCTTTCTTCATTTATCTCTTTTCACGTAAAACTTGGCCAGTTTGTTTTAAAATAACAATAATAATTCCAAAGCTTGAAACATTAAAGTTTCCAAACTTCAGTAAAAAACACTAGAGTTTCCAAAGTAACGATGATTGTTTTGATTATTCTATTTTGGACTTTTGCATTCTTCAAAAACAGATTTTTTCTTTATATTGTCATATGCTTACAAACGTCCATCACATGCAAATAGAGAAATAAAAATTCAGCCCAGCCCATAAAATATGCAAGTTAATTAAGATGTGTTTGCCACGTAGCAAATTCTGAACAACTTGTATCACTATGCCCCCACTATCCAAATATCTTTAGGAGAGAAAAGATTGCAATTCGAGTCCATGTTGACAACAACTTACTATCTCTACATTGGCATCCAGTCCCAATTAGAAGAATAATTCTTACAATCTGAATCCCTTTTGGAGTTCGATTACAACCATTCCACATCGACAAAGCCACTTAACATGCTGCCTTGAGAAATCTGTATAAAGGGTGCGTACTCTCCAACTTGTGAGCATCAGTTCGCAGTATTTGCAAGCCACTTGAGTTTATTTTTGTGGACTTGGAAGCATTAACGCGAAGGTAATTTCTTTTTTTTTTCTTGTGCTTTCTTTTTTGTTGTCTTTTTTTTTTCCTTTTTTTTGTAGGTCAAGCGAGAAAGATATGTTCTTGTTCAACAAGATGATCCATGCATGAAGAAGATAGTCTTGGGGTGTGAGGGGATGGGTACTCATCCCTGCCCAAATATCGGAGGGATTACTTTCATGGCCCGACTACCGGAGAGATTACTCTCAAAATGGCCCGATTCTTGGAGAGATTACTCTCAATGTGGCCCAATTCTTGGAGAGATTACTCTCAAAATGGCCCGATTCTTGGAGAGCATTCCATCCATTTAGACCTTTGTACCCATTCTAATATGCTTGATTTGGACTTTGACGACCCCTCTTTTCTTTCTCTTTTTTTAGCATGAAGAGATGGCAAATTTCAGGGACTATACCTCACCTTCCTCAAAACTTAGATATCTCATCATCGAGACTGAAGATGGCATAGAACAAACCAAGCTTTTGGTTCACACCTCACAAGCTGGCCGATATGCAGCTTCATGGCCTCCTCTAAGGAACTCCCTTCATGTAGAGAACTGGACCTCGGAACACAAATCGATTTTTAATCCATTATCCAAGATGTGGTCTCTCTAAGCGCCAATCTATCTCCATGTAAATATTGCTAGCACTCTTCCAAACTTAGTAAGTCGCATAATTCAAGGCGAAGTACATTGGGAAAACACAATAATCGAGGGCGAGTATCGTCATATCCCAGGATATTGGGAATAGGCTGAAGACGTACTTGGTGGAAGCCAACAAACTCTGAGTACAACAAAGATTTACGATGCTGTCTATGCCTCACTTTTCACTTATAATCGAAACTCGAACATTTTGCAAGCATTTTGTGAGGCTTGGTGCCCCAAGACGAACACACTTCTTACATCAGCTGGGGAGTTATCTATATCTCTTTGGGACTTACATATCCTTGGGGGTTTGCCCATTGCGGGTTATCCGTACGAAGAAGTGGTACCTGAGACAAGAGAACTCATCGGTTTGAATGAAAAACAAGTCAGATTTATTCCTCAATCTTGCGAGTATTTATTTGCCGCATTTCATCATCTTAAGGAGGGTACGGGTGCTACCCAAAAGGTCTCCTTCAGCAAGTGGACAAGTTTTTGGTATAAAAAAACTTTAATATATAGACTTGCCCCGTTGCGAAAGGAAAAGAAATCTACACGCCTAAAGTCGACACATAATCCTAACGGAGTTATTCCCGAGACGACGACGTGGTCGAGTGATCAAGAAACTATATTCTCTAAGCTTAGGGTAAGGTCTGACAAGAAAGATGAGACATATGTAGCGGCATTCTTATCAATTTGGCTATGTGCCTTTGTGTTCCCCAAGGTATAAAACTCCATTTGTCCTGAGACTTTTAAGATGGCAAGCATGATGGCAGGCGGGCGAAAGATTAGCCTTGCAATCCCAGTTTTAGCGAGTATTTATCATGGTTTGAATAAGATTTCGCGTTCTTCCCAACACGATTAGGTCAAAGTTTCTTTTCCCATTCATTATGTTTATGGCTGGCTTGCACATTACTTCAAAACCCACTATCCACTTGCTAAGGGTCCGTCTGTCCCTTTGATGGTGGCATACTCAGGAGAAGGGGCTGCAAGGTACTTTGACGAGAAGGATGGAAGAAAACGCATCCACAATGGGGAGGATATAATTTGGACACCAACAATGTTAACCAATTCCCGTTCTTATTATTACGTGGATAACGATGCCCCTCAAGAGTTGGAATCAAATTACTTCATAAGCTTACATTTTAATTACCTTCCTTTGAGATATGGTAATTCATTTATCATCGAGCCATATAGCCCGCATCGGTTTGGTCGTCAATTTGGATTTTACCAGAACATCCCCGACTTTTTGGAGAATGATATCCGTAACACCTCTCTAGATGAAGGAATCAGATTTTGGTGGATTTGCACACTGTATCGATCTATGTCACGTGCGATTTTCCCCCCAGCGGGAGATCCTATGGAGAAACCTTTCTCCACTAATTATATGTCTTGGTGGGAGAAAGCGCATGAGAAGTTTCTCGAGAATAACTTACAAGCTTTGGTAGACAATGTTGGGCTAAACTCTACAACTCCTTTAGGAGGTGAAGATCAAGGTGTTGGAAAGACGCTCTCAAAAGTTAAAAAAATATCAACTCCAATCCCAAAAGTAGTTACGCAACCTAAAAAAAGGAAGCTTAAATCCTCAAAGGCAGCTTTGAAAGAAGTGGTGTGCACTTCAACAGCTNGCCTACGTGTAAAGTGAAGTCATCGTCAAAGGCGTCATCTCTTCCTCATGACGAATCCCTAAAAAGACAAACTCCAAATGAGATAACTCGCATTTCACCAATGACAAATACAGCGGTATCTATATTTGAAGGAAAAAGCATTGTTTTCAATCGCAAGAAGGAATTCATTTTGGGACTTTGGGAGGATATTTGCAATAGGCTCTCCAAAACTCGTCCGGAATTGCTCTTATCTTATAGGGAGCAAATCATTGAGATTTTCGAGGATATGAAGAAGACGAATATTCTGGATTTTTCTCCATTAGAAGATTTACTAAATTCTCTTTTTGAACTTGCCGCATCATATGACTAAGAGCGATCCAATATGGCTGATAAGAGGAGTGAAGATGAGAAGCTAGAGCTGATTTCCAAAGCTAAAGAGCGTCTCAAATCATTCAAACTTGAAGCAAGTGAGAAAGTCAAGAAAGTTTCCTCTAGTGAAAAGAAATTGAAGAGAGTCGTGAAGAAGTTGCAGACGTTACAACAAGAGAGGGAGAACCTCGAAGGTGTTATAGAAGCGACTCAAAAAGAGGTTGAATAGATTCAGGAAAAAATTTCAACTGTCGAGTCTGAGGTCTTTTCATATGACAACGTAAATTTGTTGACTGTTGATGATTCGGCCATTTTGGAGGAGAAGAAGAAGAACTTGGAGACTGGCTGTCAAGAATTGTCAACTACAAATTTTGTTTAGATTAGGCTGTTAGCACTATCTCCCCTTTTATCTTTATATTAGGTTGACCTAGTGGATATTTATTTCATCTTAGATAAGATTGCTTCTCGTTTGCTTTACATTACCCGACATTTATCTTAGTTGCATAATTTTTTACTTTACGCACTTGTAACGAAAGATTCATATCTTGTCGTGGGAGAGTCCAAATAATGAACCATTTGATTTTTCAAAAATTAGATTTCAATATCTAAAATATATCCAAAATTCAGAATCAAGCACCTTCAGAATCGCCCCAGATAATATTTTGGATCCAGCTTTAGATCCCACCACGTTGAAGATTTCAGATTTGCGCAGTCTCACCAAAATATTCATATCTCGGTGTAAAAAATCGAAATTGTAAACCGTTTGATTTCAAGAAAATTAAACTTCAAGATCTAGAGCATACCCAAAATTTTAAATCAAACAACTTCAGAATCGTCCCAAATAATATTTTGAAACCAACTTTATATTGCACCTTGCTATCAATTCCGGATTTGTACAGACTCACT